TTTTCTACCTTTTGTTCCTGAAGGAGCAACTACTGGTAGAAAGCAAATATGGAGGAAACTACTCACTGCCATCTTTCTATTGTAGCATGTACAACCAAAATCAAGCCCAGAATTGTTGGAGGAAATGCATCTGTTCCTGGAGAGTGGCCATGGCAGATAACTTTGCATGCCAAGTCATCCACCTGGGGACACCTGTGTGGAGGCTCCATCATTGGAAACCAGTGGATAGTAACAGCTGCTCATTGTTTCTATGGGTCAGTACCATGGCAGCTTCTATTAGGACCGTCCTTGCACATACATGAACTCTATTAGTGGCATAGAAGTAAATAATTATGTTAAAATTGTAAATGATATCATGTGCCAAATAATTGCCCATTTTTATTGAGAACAAAAGCAAAAAGAAAGAGCCACTCTTGGGCTACCAGCATCCGAATAGGTGCAAGAACATGGCTGTTTGCTTAGGGACTATTCCGCCCTCCTATTTAGATGCATACACTTCCCCGGGGGCTTTCTTATTGTTCCCCATAGAAGCACATGACCTTCCATGCACTGCTCTGTGCACAGAGCCCAGAACTAGATTAAAAGAGAATTTTCGGTTCTCTGAATCTAATTTCCTATTCCCTACCATCCTCTTCTCTCCATTGGATTTCCAAGTACAGAAAAAGTTCACTCTGCATCCTTAAATTGGATTCCCTACTTTGGTCAGTTTCAATATTGGCTGGATATAAAAACTCCATCTGGAGATGATATGTATCCTAGAGCATTTTAGCTGGTAAACTTTGCCTTTGTTACGTTAGGATCGTCCTAGGTGTTTCCAGATCGTTTTACGTGTTTGTGTTTGGTTTGGGTTTTGTAGTCTATCAGCATGCAGCATATTCCCGTTATCAAACAAAGACACCTTTGAAGTCCACGGTCCACCTTTATTTCCATATAGGTAGATGGAGTACAGAGAAGTCTAAGAGAATTCCTCAGGGTCATGGCTAGTGTGTGGCAGAGCTGAGACTAAAGCTCAGGCATCTTTAGTGTGTGGCCACCTCTACAGGGAGGTGCGTGACTGAGCATCTTAGCACGGAATCACTGTTTTCCTTCTAAAATTAGTCTACCACTGGGAGAAAATATTAGCAAGAATCATCTAAAACAGCTCAAAAAATGTTGCAAATGATGTAGTGAAAGATTTTGGTCTCCCTCTATTGTTTGCTCGTTAGGGTGAAGTCACCTAAAATTTTGCGTGTCTATGGTGGCATTTTAAATCAATCTGAAATAAAAGAGGATACACCTTTCTTTGAGGTTCAAGAAATAATCATTCATGATCGATATGAATCGGCAGAAAGTGGGTTTGATATTGCCTTGCTGAAACTCAAAACACCAATGAATTATACAGGTATGTAGAATTTTCATTGGAAAGGTGTCTACAGTGGTGGCCTAGACAAAATGCCTGACAGTACCAGATTCGTGTCTGACCCCACCAATCTTCCCACGTGTTAGCAGGAAAGAGAGTGGGTCTGGAGAGTTAGT